CAAGTGTTTTAGTCTGTTTGTGCTGCTATAACAAAATTCTGTAAACTGGGTTGCTTATAAATAATAGAAATTTATTTCTGTTAGTATCTTTAGTAACAATGCTATAATTATCTCTAAGGCAAGCTGAGAAATGTAATCTATACCTTGGTGGCCATGTGCCCAGTTAAAATTCTGTTATGGAAGAAGAGGAAAAAAGTTTTAAGAGATTGATTAACAGTTTGCCACAATTCTTTTTAAATTAAAATTTCTAACTTTCTATTATGGGTATTTTGAAATGTTGTTTTGTCATTTGGCCTTATAGCCATCTACCTTGCCAAAGACACATTATTTCTTATAATTAATAGATTATTGTAGATTGTCTATGTAGATTATCATAATCATCTATAAATAATGTCAGTTTTGTTTTCTCCTTTCCAAATTCTATGCCTTTCTTTTTCTTGTTTTACTAAGCTGGCTAGAACCACAAATACAATACTGAGTAGAAGTGAATAGTAGGCATCTTTGGCTTGTTTCTAATTTTAAAGTAAATCCCTTTAATGTTTGCTCACTAAGAATCATGCTTGCTTTAGATTTTGAATAAATATGCTTAATGAAGTTAAAGAAGTTCCCTTTAATTTGCTAGAGGTTTTTTTTTAAGCGATAGTTGAATTTTACTAAATTATTTTCCTGAACTGATTGAGGTGATCATATTTTTTTTTTATTTGACATTTTAATGTGAAGAATAACATTGACAGATTTTGTAGCATTAAGTCAACCTTTTATTCCTGAGATCACCCAGTTGAGAAATGATTTATTATTTATTTATGTTCTGACATATTTAATTTGATAATATTTCATTTGGGATTTTTTACCTATGTTGGTAAGTAGAGTGAGATTGCTATGAATTTTCTTTTTGTTCTGTCCTTGTCTGGATTCAGTGTCAAAATTATAATGGCCTTGTGGAATGAACTGGGGACTATTTCTCTTTCTATTCTCTGAAGAATATGACCTAAAATTGGAATGATCTTTCTCTTGAAAGTTTGAGGGAATTCATTTGTAAAATTCATTTGGGTTACTTGTCTTCTTTGGGATAATCTTTTAATATTGATTCAATCATTTTAAATTTAGGACTCTTAAGGCATTCAAATTTTTCAGTTTTGGTAAGTTATATTTTCTAGAAACTTTTGCATTTTGTCTAAGTTTTAAAAACTTATTAGCAAAAAGTTTAGTCTTTGCTTTATCTGTAATTCTGTTCCTCTTTTTCTCAATATTATATGTTTGTGCCTTCTTTTATTTTCTAGAGTAATGTCACCAGAGGTTTTCTTTTTTTATTAGTTTTTTTCCGTGGAGAACTTTTGTCTTTTTATAAAATCTCTTTTATTGTGACTTTGTTTTCTACCTCATTGATTTCTCCTCTTTTCTATATTATCTTTTTTCCTCCATGTTCTTTGAGTTTACTTTTTTTCTAATGTGTATCTAATACCTGTCTTTTAAATTCTCAATTTCTTTTCTAACATAGACATTTTAGGATGTAAACCTCTCTCTATACAACTTTTGCTCCATTACACAACTTTTGTGATATTTATCATTCAGCAACAAATATTTTTTATGTTGTTATGATTTCTTTTTTGACTGATAATTTAGAAAATGTGTTGATATGATTTGGCTGTATCCCCACTCAAATCCTCATCTTGAATTATAGTTCCCATAACTCCCATGTGTTGTGGGATGGACTCAGTGGGAGATAATTGCATCATGGGGGCATTTCCCCCATACTGTTCTCACAGTAGTGAATAAGCCTCATGAGATTTGATGGTTTTACAAGGGGAGACCCCCTTTGCTTAGTCCTCATTCTCTCTTTTCTGCCACCATGTAAGACGTGACTTTTGCCTTCTGCCATGACTGTGAGGCCTCCTCAGCCATGTGGAACTGTGACTACATTAAACCTTTTTTTCTTTATAAGTTACCGAGTCTCAGGTATGTCCTTATCAGCAGCATAAAAATGGACTAACACATGTGTATAAATTTCTAAATATTTCAGAATTTTAAATTTATCTTATTAACAACTTCCAACTTAATTGCATTTGTCCATATGATACTGATTCTTTGAAGTTTTTTCAGGTTTGCTTAATGCCTGGAATCTAGTTATTTTGCTGCCAGAGGGTCTTTTAAGGTGTCAAGTTCATTGTACCGCTGAGAACAGAAGTCCATAAATGTGTAACTTGAGATAGTACAGATTATTACTTCATAGTGTTGTTGTATGGGTAAAATAGATGTAAAGTACTTGACAAGATCATTCAACAAATGCTATCTGTTGTTATTAATACCACCCTATGATAGAAGCTTGATTAATGCGATTTCAGCTAAGTGAACATTTTATTTTACTTTACAATTTTACTTCTCAGCATTTAAGAGAAATGTTTTTATTTGAAGAAAATAACTTGATAGGCATGTAAAATATGAAATGAGTTAATTATTTATGGAGAGTGTGCCTTTTACTTTGAAATAAATCTCAGTCATCACATGTTTTAAAAAGTATTGTACAGAATCAGATTAGGTTGGTGTAAAAGTAATTGTGATTTTTAGAACTGCAATTACTTTTGCACCAACATAATTTTATATAATTAAATACAAGCATTAAAAGTTTTTTAGGTAAATATTTTTTGAGGCACATAGTCATTTTAGAAAGTACACATTGAAGCCAAGTATGGTGACTCATGCCTGTAATCCCAGTACTTTTGGAGGCTGAGGTGGGCAGATCACTTGAGGCCAGGAGTTTGAGATCTGCCTGGCCAACATGGTGAAACCCTGTCTCTACTAAAAACACAAAAACTAGCTGGGCATGATGGCACATGCCTGTAGTCCCAGCTACTCAGGAGACTAAGGCATGAGAATCACCTGAGCTTGGGAAGTGGAAGTTGCAGTGAGCTGAGATCCCACCACTGCACTCCAGCCTAGGCGATAGAACAAGATTCCATCCTCCATCTCAAAAAAAAAGTAGACATGGCATTTTTAATTCAAAACATATGTTATATCAAAAATTAGTAGTTAAAAAAATTTTTCTGGGTAGGTGTATATATTTATGGGGTATATGAGATATTTTGATACAAGCATACAACGTGTAATAATGTAATGTGTAATAATCACATCTGGGTAAATGGAGTATCCATCCCCTCAGGCATTTATCCTTTGTGTTATAAACAATCCAATTATACTCTTTAAGTTATTTTAAATGTACAAGTAAAATTATTATTGACTATCATTGCCCTGTTGTGCTATCAAATACTAGTTCTTATTCATTCTTTGTATTTTTTGTACCTATTAACCATCCCCACTCTTCCCCTCCAACTATCCCTCCCAGCCTCTGGTAACAATCCTTCTATTCTCTACCTCCCTGAGTTCAATTGTTCTAATTTTTAGCACCCACAAATAAGTGAGAATATGTGAAATTTGTCTTTCTGTGCCTCACTAATTTAACCTAACATAATGATCTCCAGTTCCATCCATAATGTTGCAAATGACAGGATCTCTTTCTTTTTTATGACTGAATAGTACTCCACTGTGTATATGTAACCCATTTTCTTCATCCATTTGTCTGTTGATAGACACTTCAGTTGCTTCCAAATTTTGGCTCTTATGAACAGTACTGCAGTAAACATGGGAATGCAGATACCTCTTTGATATACTGAGTTCCTTTCTTTTGGGCATATACCTAGCAATGGGATTGCTGGACCATGTGGTAGCTCCATTTTTGGTTCTGAGAAACCTCCAAACTGTTCTTCACAGTGGTTGTACTAATTTACATTCAATTAATTAATTAATTAATTTTTATTAACATAGAAGTTTAAATGAGAGAGGGTCTTGCTGTGTTGCCCTGGCTTGTCTCAAACTCCTGAGTTCAAGGGATCTGTACACCTCAGCCTCCCAAAGTGCTCGCATTATAGGTGTAAGCCACTGTGCCTGGCCCTTTTGCCCATTTTAAAATGGAATTATTAGATTTTTCCCATAGATTTGTTTAAGCTCCTTATATATTCTGGTTGTTAATCCCTTCTCAGATGGGTAGTTTGCAAATATTTTCTCCCATTTTGTAGGTTGTCTCTTCATTTTGTTGATTATTTCCTTTGCTGTGCAGAAGCTTTTTTATTTTGTTTTATTTTAAATTGCTTTTTTTTTTTTTGAGATGGAGTCTCATTCTATTGCCAGGGTAGAGTGCAGTAGTGCAATCCCCGCTGATTGAAACTTCCGTTTTCTGGTATCAAGCAATTCTCCTGCCTCAGCCTCCTGAGTAGCTGGGACCACAGGCACGCACCGGCATGTCTGACTAATTTTTTGTATTTTTAGTAGAGATGGGGTTTCACCATGTTGGCCAGGATGGTCTCGATCTCTTGACCTCGTGATCCACCAGCCTCGGCCTCCCAAAGTGCTGGGATTACAGGTGTGAGCCACCGTGCCCCACCAGAAGCTTTTCGTTAATAACTTGATGTGATCCCATTTGTCCATTTTCCCTTTGATTGCCTGTGCTTCTGGGGTATTACTCAGGAAATCTTTGACCACTCCAATGTCTTGGAGAGTTTCCCCAATGTTTTCTTTTAGTATTCATAGTTTGAGGTCTTAGATTTAAGTCTTTAATCCATTTTGATTTGACTTTTTTTATATGGTGAGAGATGGGGTCTGGTTTCATTTTTATGCATAATATCCAGTTTTATAATATCCATAATATCCAGTTTCCCCAGCACCATTTATTTGTAGACTGTCTTTTTCCCAATGTATATTCCTGGCACCTTTGTTGAAAATGAATTCACTATAGTTGTATAGATTTGTTTCTGGGTTGTTTATTCTGTTCCACTGGTCTATGTGTCTGTTTTCATGCCAGTGCCATGCTTTTTTGAGGTTAGTATAAGAACTAGTAGTATGTAATAGTCATTTGTGGAAGAAATACTTAAGTCACATTATATTTAATAGAATATGATTCATGTGTGCTTAATTCATTTTAATAGCTGACTCCCCATCTCCTCCTTCAGGTTCTGGCTTCAGTGATCCTCTCACTGGAGCATCAGCTCAATACTTAGAGAGACTTTCCAAAATGGCCATATTGGAATATGATACCATTTGTCAGGAAACAACCAGAAAATCAAAAAAAGGCAGGAAATGAGAGCTCCAAGACTGCTGACAAATGTCATACAGTGTGATGCTTTCTTCAGTGACTCTTAAGCTTTATATTTTCTTTTTTTGGGGGGACAAATTTTGACAACATATATTTTTTTATGTGATATGATGCATAATGATTTACATAAAAATGAAAATGTAAATAGGAAATAAATATTTTATGTTATAAATGAGTCACTTGTATTTTGTTAATATTACAGAGAAATTATATTTTTTTCTTATTTATGTTGAAGGACTATAAGTTATGGTTTATGGGAAAATAAGCATAAGAGAAATTTTATTCCCTGAATTTTACATATATTGATTGTGTGTTTTGCTTCAATTGGATATTCTTGAGTGTCTATTTTGTGCAATGACCTTGGCTAGCGTCTGAGAAAGATTTAAGAAAAAGTGAGGTCTTACTGTCGAGGTCAGAAAGGGGTCAATAAAATGTCTTATTTTTCCCTGCTTGAGTTTGGAAACAGTGGCTAGGTAAGTATTCAAGCAGAGGACGATGAAAATTTAGCTTGGTTTGCTGATAAACCCAGGATGGGAAGCCCTGTCTTCAATGTGTTGCAGTAAGGGGCTTCCCGTTACTGGCCTTCAGAATCGGACAGATGGACACACACAGGTAGTGCGGACACCTCAGTCTCACCTGCACATCAGTGCCTTTACTGCCAAGCAGGACAGGGCCTCTTTGCTGTGTAGACAGTCAAGTCCCTGACGGGAAAGGGAGGTGGGGACAGACACTCTTTGTCTCTGTGGTGAGGAGGAGGAAAGTCTATCAAGAGGAAAACCTTCTCAAAAAAGCCTGAGCAGTGGGGAAAGGTGTACATCTCTATCCCTTCCTGAGGAATAGGGAGAAAGCAAGGGTATGATTATGATGCCAAGGAGGGTGGGCTCTGGTCCATAAGAGAGCCACAGAGTGTTACAGAGGTTTGCAAACAGGCAGTCCCATCCAGCAGGATGCTCACAGACAGCTTCAAGAAAGATAGATAGCGTGTTGGAAATGGACTGTAAAGACAGGAAAGAAGGAAAGAGGGCATTTTTAGAAAGAGAGGGAAACAGAAGTAAAGACGCTATGCATTCGGGAATGTTGCACTTGGCTGGAGCCCTAGATTGTATAAAGCAAGTGTCATAAATCCACATGCCTGCAGATACCAAACCAGCACCAAACTGAGTGACACCAATCAGGTGAAGGCTGTAGTGAACTGGGGCCTGTTTCTCCCTTTCAAAAAGTCTGGCTGTCTGGCTTCAGCCTTTTGTGCCATGCAGGTCCAAAGTTGCCAGACATCCCAACTTTTCATGAGAAACCAGAATCTAGATTTCTATGTGGAAACCTTCCAATGTATAAATGTTAGCAACTAATTTGAAATAAGCAACTAATTCAAAATGTATAAAGCCATTGTGTTTGCCAAAGAAAATTACATGTGCAAGCTACATCTGGCTTTGTGTGGCCATTCAACACGACCTCAGGAAGAAAGGAATAGAAGGCAATAGGTCCCAAAAGATAACTTGTTAATCTGTGGTAGAGAGCCTCAGATGCCAAGCATGAGTTTATATTTAATGTATTCCAGTAGGAGATTTTGAGAATGCAAGTAAATTACTGCTTTTGTGATTAAGGATGAAGGTTCATCTAAGTATAATTTGTAGGCTACATGACAGGGGGACACTGAAGGTTGAGAAATCATTGGGAAGCAGGAATGGAAAGGAGGGACTGGATAATTAGGATATCAAGGCAGAAGACTTAAGATCAATTGTTTAGCTATGGAATATAAAGAAAGGAAGAATCAAACCTAGCTCAGGTTTCCAATCTTAGAGATAAGAATCTCAGCAGGAGACGCTAATTTGTGGGGAATAAGAGCATAAATGCAACTTTAGACATAGTCGGTTTAAGGTGCCATCAGTGTGTCCCCATAGAGATCCCAAGCAGGTATTTGAAAAGCAGCTCTGTAGTTATGGAAAAAGACACTGACTAGAGTTAGAGCTCTCTGAGAAACATTTGCACAGCAAAGACTGAGTTTTCCCTGGTAAAAATGTAGAGACAGAAGGAGTCCAAATGCATAGGGGATGAGAGGAAATAGGAAGAAGACAGAAGACACAGAAGACAGAAGAGGAAGAAAGGAGGAGGAGAGGGAGGGGGAGGGGGAAGAAGGAGGAAGGAGAAGGAGAAGCAGCAGCAGCCAGCACAGATATAGAATAGCATATTCTATATCCTTGTATGCTTTATATTTACACAAAATACTATTAATATATATGTGTCTGTATACATTATGATACATTAGCTACTAAGGGAATAATTGAATACACTTAAGTGGCTGTGTTTTTGCTTACATCTGAATTTTGGTTAAGAATGATTTAGATTTACCTTTCTATCTTCTGATTACCTCTTCCAAGTGTGGTCAGTGATTTAAGAAATGGAAAGCAGGAGAAAATTTTCAAACACAATTTGGTGAACTATTTTTTGGATGAGTGCTCCTAAACACTTTTGATTATCAGATGGATTTCGTTTATTGAACTCCTGCTATCTATTATTATGAAAACCCCAACAAATAAGTAGGTGATATTATTTCTGCTTCATAAATGAGGTAAATTTGGAGTCTCTGTTTTATACTTGGTCTCTAGCCAGAAAGCAGGAGAACTAAGATTTTAACTTACTAGGATTCAAAGCTCATATAATAAACTCCATGCAATAATAATTTTTAAGACCTTAAACTTAGCCGGTACATGTAATAACAGTTTAATTACTTACAATTTAGGGCAAGATAGTACTTTTATTACTGAAACACCAGGGGTTTGGTCTAGATCCTGCTATTCGCCACACACAAAGCCGATCACTGAGACAGGAATTATCATGAAGGAAGAAGTCTTTAACAGGGTGCTACAGCCAAGGAGTTCAGTCTCAAATTCATTTCCCCGACCTACTAAAACTAGAGGTGTATATAGCGGGGAAGAAATGTAATAATGTGTAAGAAAACAGAAACTAGGAACTAGCAAGGAGCAAGGAAGCAATTATGATGAACGAGGGGTCCAGATTCACTGTCTGGATGTGGTGATCTGATGAGTTTCAGTTCTTTGATACTTCGTGTTTTGAGATGCCTGAAGGTCCTTTCCTGAGGAAGGAATTCAGATAAAACAAATGTAAGTTTCAAGTTTTAAAACTAGAAGGAATTATTTCTGTTTATTCAGAAAAAGAAAACCCAAAAATCAAAAAACAAAAAACTATCTATGGGACCACTGGGTTGGCTTCACTTCCACAGACAAAAATATCCCTCGTGGGGACTGGTGGTGGTGGTGGTGGCTCAAGCCTGTAATCCCAGCATTTTGAGGCCAGGGGTTTGACACCAGCCTGGACAGCATGGAAAACCCTGTCCCTACTAAAAATGCATAAAAATTAGCCAGGTGTCGTGGCATGTACCTGTAATCACAGCTACTCAGGAGGCTGAGGCATGAGAATCACTTAAGCCTGGGAGGTGGAGGTTGCAGTGAGCTGGGATTGTGCCGCTGCAATCCATCCTGAGCTACAGAGAGAGACTGTCTAAAAAAAAGTCTTAAAAGTGAGTTGAGTTTTGACACGAACATATCAAGGAGTATTTACACTGGTAAAATGGAAAGCAGGAATCATGTGCATGAATAATTATGTCTGCTCCCTGCTCCAATCTTCCCTAGGAAAGAGTTAACTTAAGCCAGTTCAAAGGAGCAGAATGTTTATGGAATGTTTATTTCTTTTTAATAAACAGGATGTGCTGACAATAATTAATCAACATTTTAGCCTTGAGATTGAATTTATGTTTTTCATTATATCTTTGTTTGCTTTTTTAGCCATAGGCTCTACTTCCTTACTTCACATTTACTCTTTTCATTCCTCATGAAGTTTTAAAGAGAAACCAGTGTACATTTTATTCACAGAAAGCTCAAACCACCCCCAAGTAAGATAAACCCAAGATTTAGAGATAAGGATGAGATGCCAGATTCTGATATTTCAGCTGCCATAGATGTTAAACTCATCCTTGGGATGGTACACAATCTTGTCAGAAATGACTCTTCTGCATTTGTGGTTTAGAAATTCCTCCAGTGTAAGCAATATCAATCATAACCTTGGGAAACCGTGCCTTATGATAAATATTTAGGATGGGAAGATGGACTCCTGATCTTAGACCAAGAAAACAGTTCTTTACAAAGAATAGTTACTTTGGTGAAGGACAAATCATTAGCAGTGATAGTTTCAAAGACATTTCCTAAGACAACTCACTGCCTTTTCTGTAATTCTCTGCTTACCAAGCAGCCTTCTAGTGTGTAATTTAGACTCTTGAGTACATATGTCCACTGAAAATCAGATGCCTTCTCTGCATGACATGTTTTAGATCAGGGATTGAATATGTTAATTAATGAGTTGATATTCTGATTCACAGCCTCTGTTTATTTGGTTGGTGTAAATTGATACACAGATCCTGATCATCCTTGTCAAATAAACATATAGAGGAGTTTTTTAAATGAGAAAAATCACTTCAGAAATTTTGAAAAATAATATGTATTTTAGAAATTTCAGCAATGTGGAATAGTACAAAAAAGAAGTCTAAAAATCACCTCAACTCTCACCACTCGTAAATAACATCAGGTGTCATTTAAAATGAGATGATTCTATGCATGCTATACTTAAAGTTATTCAACTTAATTTTTACTCTGCTATAAGAAAAACTTCAGTGAAAATGTGACACTGCTTAAATTCAAATATTATTGCTTTTAAAATTATATATTATAAATTCATATTTAGATCAATTTTTAGATTTATATCTAAACTTAGATCTAAATCTTCTTTCCTTAAAGATTCCTCTGCGAGGCTTTTCCTACTGAAGCATGCATCCAGATCTCCTGGAGAGCTTGTTAAAATCCAGACTCTTGTAGGTCTGGAGGGGATCTGAGAACTTGCATTTCTCTCAAGCTCCCAGATGATGCTGACACCGCCTGTCCACAAACTACACTTTCCGTAGACCTGCTTGAGAATCA